CTTGCTAAATTTTTAGGTTCAAGCGCTCCCCATGGCAACACGTTTCAGTGTAGTGTATATTGTGTAAAAAACATATCCATTTATTGATTTGAAATTAAATGAATTAATATCTGGTCCAAAGTGTTATAACAGGAGGTACTGATTGCTGAGCACTTCTGAAAAAGGTAGCTCCTATTATGAGTATTAAGCAATAAAAAACTTGGCCCTGAATTGTCTGAAAATTTAGCTATGGGTTGAGGGTGAGATTTTCAAAATGTCCTAGAAACTAGATGCTTTATTGTGGGTGCCCAAGTTGATGCTTCTTCAGAGGGGCTGTTTTTCCAGAAAGGGACTCTGAAACCCAGGCCTCTTCAAGGCATGCTAGATTGAGCACCTGAAATAATAAAGCACCCAAACCTCCGAGTAATTTTTCTAAATCTTGGCTGAAGTGTCTTGCCCAAGGTCAGCAAGTTGGTAGGAGAGGAAGGGAAAAAAGCCTTGAAAGGAAGGCATGGGGTCTTCCTTTATGAACGACACACCCCAACTCTCCAGATGACATGGATTAGAATAAGGCCCTAGAAACAGCCTTGCTTCTCTTACCAGTGTGCAGGTTTCAAAGAAAGACCTACTGAGTTGTGTCTACACAGCAGGTATTTTTTTCCCAGTGCAGCCACATTCAAGTCTGAGTCTCTACACCAGTGATTCTCAGTCAGGGTTTTGGGACACCCTGGAGTGCCCTGAGATCCTTTGAAGGGGGCCTCAGGATGTAAGGAAATACATGAGATGTGAGGAGATAAGCAACTAAGTATAGGCTCAGGCTTGTCCTTGCTTAGCCAACCTCCCACTTCCCAGCCCCGCTGCAAGGAAATAAGCACCATAATATATAAATTAGTTTTTGAAACTGGGTTCCATGCACTTGCAAAAGTTATGGAGGGGTGCCTCGAGTCCAGCAAGGGGTGCCTCAAGTCCCAAAAGGCTGAGTGTAGAGAACAGTGGTTTGAACTGCACCACCCAGCTGCACTGGTGCCTGTGCTCCTGAGAAAAATCACAGCAGCTTTCTCCAAGTGTGGAGGCGCCACCATTTTTGGCAGGTGTGCCACAAGTTAGCCCCACGTGCTCCCCGAGTGCCACTTGAATCTCTTTCACCTACCCAATCTGCTGTCTGCTCCCTGCCCCATCTGCCCCAGTCTGCCAAGCTCGATACACACAGAGGCTGCAGGTGTGTGTGATGATGAGTGTGAGTGATGATATCTGTGCAGGTGTGTGTGATGAGATGATTAGTGAACAGAGAACCGTGATGATGTGGAATGCAGCAGCAGCACAATGCCTCTTCCAGCCCTGTGCAGAGGGATGGCCGAACCAGTTGTGCAAACTTTGTATATGCCTAGCTTTATGACCAAAACAAAAGTTTGCCAAATCCGTTATAGGGAAGCAATATCCATGGAGAACTAGCTGTCAGGAGCTGGGTTATATATCATGTCATCATGTCTGAAGCCCCAGACCTTACAAATGTCAGTATGTATTGTGTAGTGTAATGTACTGTGTACATTGGAAATGCAATCTGAATGTGTAACAGAAGTGGGGCAACCCTACGGAGTCCTGCCGGCTGCATGATGGGGACAGAGTCTCTCCTGCACCTGTGTTAAGAAACTAAACCAGCTCTCAGATTTTCAGGCCCACTTCACACGTTAAGGCCCAGAGCCAGACTACTCCAAGCTCAATGCTTAGCAAACTGCAGCAAAGTAGGGGGTTGCGGCAGACCCTGCATGCAGCACTCCCCTGCCACATTCCCCTCAGGGATAACTCGACATCCTCCTTCGGCTCCTAGCCCAGGCTCTGGCTCTTTTCTTATTCTAATAGCCCAGCAGCTTCCCCACTCCTGGACAGGCATCGGTTAGGGAAGAGGTGGTGAAATGGTATTCCCACAGCTCTCAGGTCTCACCACAGAGTCTGCATTCAGAGCGAACCAAGTCTTTTGGCTCAGATCAAGCATCAGTTTCGAGGCCTCTGGTGAGCTAAGATCAGGTGGGGGCATCCAAATCCTAAGACCTCTGGGCTTGGGCCTGCACATAGGATGCCTGCCAATAGATTTGGGAGCATCTGAAGTCCCAGGGCGAGAGCGTGGGGCAAAGGATGCTCACCGGCGGTAGCACCACACGTGGTGTTTGGAACGATTGAGTTCTGCCTGTGCAGTCGATATGAAACGATTGAGTTCTGCTCATTCGATCGGATTTGGAACCAATTTGGCTGATTTGATCTGGAGCTCGAAATATATTAATTAAAAAAAAAACAAAAACCCAAAAATAAAGTCTCCATCCAGGGCCTGGGTCCTGTAGCTAGAGGCATTTGCAAGCCACTGAAACCAACAGGACTTTCAGCCCTTCCTCTACCTGCTCAGGTTGCATTTCCTGGTGATGCAGCCAAGTCTCAAGGCAGGGCAGGGGCAGGGGGCTCCGGCTGCACCCAGGTTTCCTTCAGCTACAAGTGCCAAACTGCTTCTTAAAGGGTGCTGTGTCCACCCCAACCTGCCAGACAGCCCCAGGCTGTCTTGACACAGGTGAATTCCCTGAGGGCATTTGTCATCAGATTACACACCTTTTACTCACCAAATGAATGGTGCAAAGAGTCCTTACCGGGCTTGAGCATTTGGCTTTATATCTGAATTTCCCCTCACGGAGATTCATTTATAGAGGTTTCCTCTGGCCTCAAAAGTCATGGGCTCCACCACTAGTTTATTATGCTTTATTTCTTTGATTTACATGCTGCCCTGCTCAACAATTGCTCAGGGCAGCTCACAATAAGAAAACAGAATAATCTAAAAAATAGGATGCCTTAAAAAACAGGTGACACACCAGCTCTGTGCCAGGCAGCACGAACCACATGACAGGCAACTTGCCATTTGTGCCCAACCCTGGCAAAGCCAAACCAAGAAAACCCTATGAAGTAGCAATTGTGTGCACATGTTATACAACGCTACATGCATGTATAACACTCGGCAAGTCCCAGCTCTTGTCTTGTCTGAGAGAATTAAGGGCCCAAATCCCACTGAATTTCATCTTCCTTTCTTTCACTAGGGGATCATTGTGGTCATCATGTGTCTGGTGACTTCTCAGACTTTAAGATTTTTGTGATAAGGGAACTGAAAATCCCAGCCACAGGATCATAAAAGAAGTCAGCACCCAACTCTCTCTGAAGTTTGGCTTGAGAATTTTCTTCTGAGGTTTCTATACGTTTAAATGAAATGCAATCGTAATATGAGCTGTGCATATGTTAGTAATTCAACTCACTATTTTCAAATTCAGGCAGTAGAGCTTTGCTGCTGGGCTACTTCAGATAAATAACTAACTATAACCACTGTTCAGTCTTGTAGGTATAGGAAGCACAAAAACCTACACCATGAATGATATTTCAGTCATCTTTCTATGTATAAGAGATGAACAAGGATATTTAAAGTGACTAAAACTCACTTACCTTCACATGTTTTTTCTCTGGTTGCCACAAAGTGCTTATATTTAGATGGGGAATACAATGAACCTTATATGAAAGGATATGTGCCAACTTGAAATTTAGTTTGAGTAATAGATTGAGGGTCAGATGTAGATACTACTGCTAAATTACTCAGTGCACAAAGGTGGGTTGTTCTCTGGATGGTTCTCCTTTTCTTCAGCTGTGAAGTCTGAATCCAGTTGAGAATGTCCTTAAACTCTGAAGATGTCTGGATCTTAGATTTCAGATTGAACCTCTCTCTAGTTCAGACTGGCAGAACATGTTAGAGGCATTGGAAACACTGCAGTTTTTAAGGTGCCTATATACGAATGCGGAGGCTGCCCTGATGCACTGGAATTCCAGCACGTTGGAGCAGATTTGATTAATCAAGTGGACTGGAGAGTAGCAACTGCCACGCTCCAGCCCCCATGCTCAAAAATGGTAGCAGAGACGCTTCAATCAAAGCTCGTCGAATGACCTTTAGTTCAAGCGCCCCCAGCAGACTTTTAAGTGCAGCTATACTGATACAGGAGAAGCAGCAGTGCTTTAATTAGAGAGGCTCTTGCAGTCGCTCCAATTAAAGCACCACCTCCCATCGCTGCCTCGCCACCCACCCAAAAGTGCCCTAAGTTTTTGATTATATGAACAAAGTAATCGTGCTTTGCAGCAGGGGAAGTTTAGATGGGATCCTAGGACGAACTTTTTCATTACGAAGGTAGTTATGCATTACAACAGCCTACCCAGAAAGGTTGTAAAATTTCCATCCTTGCAAACTGTTGAGAGCAGGTTGGACACGCACTTAATTTGGGATGGTTTTTAGTCAGAGATGATCCTGCCTTGCCCTGGGGGTTAGATTAGATGACCTGCTGAGGTCCCTTCCAGACCTACTTCCCTCCGATTCTTCAATGCTAACACCAAGCCTATTTTAAAAACTGTAAACGGTGATATACTGTTGGAAAGCTTCCAAAACATGCCCTTTGTGACCAGTAACCATTTAGAAGCATAAACCAAAGTCTTAAAAAAAAACTTAATGTAGTCAATTTTCTACTTCCTGCCAGATAAGAACCACAAAACAAGTTATTGGAGCCATAAGATATGAAAACGTTACTAACATAAATAATTTACTATTTAACTAGCACTCTATAGGATGAGCTCTGCCAAGCATCAATATGAAATGCTAAGAAACATCATTGCCATTAGAGTTTTACAATTCTAGGTACTGAGAGGCATTTCTGAAGAAGGTCGTTTCAGCTCCTGGCCGCTTATGCAATATAAGTCTGGAAAGTGCCATCTAAACATCTACCTGCATTCATATTCATAGCCATTTTTTAATCCTTCCACAAACTGAGACCATTAATCAAAATACATACATAGGGCTGATATTCTTCTAATTTCACCTAGCCAATTCAGAAGCAACTTCACTGAACTCCATGGAGTTACAATGGCATAAGTGAGAGGACAATATACTGCTACTATTCAGATTCCTCTTAGCACAAGGAAGTAAGATTAAAAAAAAAACTAAGGAAAGAACTCACCTTGCTAGTTGACAATATACACGCAGGGCCGCCTGTTGAGATGAAGGACAGCTGCCTCTGAAGCCACAACAGCTCCTTCTGAGACTGTTTCAATAAATCCTCCATATCGCTTGGTTTTTGACCCACTAGCCCTTCCTGCAGAAGGAAAGTTTTCTTCAGTAAGCAGTTCTTTATGTACATAGCAAGGGTTAGGTACAATTGTGTCACTTCTGAATTTGTAGATCAACGGCAATATCAGCAAACGCAAACTTTTAATATTTATACATTTGAGCTATAATTAAATTTAGGAGTGAAAAGGGGAAAAAGTGTTTCTACTACACACACACACACACCCATATACATACATGTGTACATATATACATACATGCACACAAGTTGCATTTTATATCATAGGCAGTCTTGCAGCTGGACTGCCTTCATTTAAGATACAAAGATTGTTTGATAAAAAAAATGCAGAAAGCGCAGAAGATTGGAAGTGTTCCTTGCTTAATTTAGTGATCATCCCTATCACAGGCTTCTGGCGCCTAAAAACTTGATCCATTGTTTCAGACTAAGTAGCTCAACCTCCTAATGATCTTCTAATGCCCTAATGCCTTCTACTTAAAGAGGGCGATTCAATTTGCAGCGGCCATTTAATTAGGCTAGGGATTGTGATTCCTCTACATGGAAGGACAGCATTCAGGAATTGGTTAGGCTGCCAGGAAAAGCTTTGGGAAAGCTGTGGTTCAGTTCAGTAATGCAAAACAAAGAAGAAGAGAGCAGGCAAACGTAGAAACATAAAACAAGATGGCTGGTTCAGCAACCTTTCATCTGTGTTCTGAACCTAGTGGAAGGGATGTCCCTCCTACAGCAGGGGCAGGCCAAATATGGCCCTTGGCCCACTTCCAGCCTACCAGGCCATTCTCTCCAGTCTGCAGGGCCCCTCCAAAAAGCAATTACTACCAAGCCACATGGCACCTCTGAAAGCTGTGCCCCATGTGGAGGCACCAAGCATGATGGCATGTGACTGCACAGCTGATGAGTGGGGAGATCTCCTGCCTTCAGCAGGGAGGGGCAGGAGGGGGTTTTATGGGTGGGTATGGGTTCCCCCGCAAGGCGCACAGCCCCTGCCACCAGCAGCAGCAGGTGGCAGGCCCTCAGGGCCTTGGCCCACTGCAGGCAGAACCCCACAGCGATGCACAGCTCCAGCTGAATCACAGGAGCTACAACTGGTGGCCTGGAGTCAGCCTGCTGGTGCATGCCTTCTAACCAGACCGGGCTGGTTCTATGCAAGCATGTGGAGCTCATGGCACTGTAGGCAGAAGCTGTGCACCATCAGGCTGGGCCATCTCCGTGCCTCCACGTGGGACTTCCAGCACTCCAGTGGGGATCTGCATGTGGAGGTAAGGAACCCACCTGGCCTGATTGCACACAACTCCCTGTGGCTCCTGTTCTGTGTGCCGTCGGGCCAGGTGAGCTCCATGCCTCCATGTGTGGCTCCCTACTAGGGTACTGGAAGTCCCACATGGAGGGACAGAGACAGCCCAGCCTGATGGCACATGGCTCCCGTCCGTAGTGCTGGGAGCCCCTCTGGTTTGCAGGCGTGCACCAGCAAGTCGGCTCCATGCCACCATGTGCAGCTCCTGGGGCTGAGCCAGATTGTGCCACCAAGGGGGGTCTCCCTGCTGCAGGCCAGGAGTGCCCTGAGGACCCACTGCCTGCTGCTGCTGCCACTGGTGACAGGGACTGTGTGCCATGGGGTGGACCCACACATACTCCCACACCCATTCCCCCACAAACACCCACACCCCTCCACAAACCCTCCCATAAAACCCACACATACTCACACTCCTTCATAAATCCCACACACAATATACAGCTATTCCTTGCTAAAAGTCATAGTTACATTCTTAAGAAATACAACTAAGTGAAATAATGTTAAGCAAATCCAATTTCCGCATAAGAATTAATGTAAATAGGGGGGGCTAGGTTCCAGGGATTATTTTTTCCTCCAGACAAAAGACATTATATACACATACAGTATACATTTTAAATAATTTTAAACAAACTATTTAATACAGGTATAAGTTTTAAATCACTTATACAATCACACCAAGTTAGAAATCTTCAGGGAATACTTGTACGACAACGTAAACAACAATGGCTGCCACGCTGAAGTGGGAGCGTCATTTGGCTCACGTCTCTAAGTAGTTACCTACTAGCAGGTGGCGGCCAAACAATGTTATAACCGAACATTGCGCAACTTTAAACGAGTGTGTTCTCCAATAGATCAGCGACGTAATAACGAAATAACGATAACTGGGACAACATTAAGTGAGGAGTTACTGTACAAGAGTAAGACTTTATTTTGAGCTATTATGCAGTAACCTCTATATACACTATGCAAACACAAGTAAATCAGTACAAAAATATGTTTTTAAAATAAAATTAAAATATGTTATAATAGACGTTTGATTTTTCATATATGATTTGTTTTTGGTTTTTTTCTGGTTCCAAATGGAAAACTCCCCGCCCAAAAGGAGTACTTCCAGGGGAAAGTGGTGGGGTGGGGGGTGGGAAGGGGACTTCTGGTTGCAAAGGTCAGGAGTTAGGAGTGGGACTCCTGGCCCCAAGATGGCGATCAGGGGGCAGGGCACCTGTCAAGAGGCAGGGCTACCCTTGCAGCCCGCGACAGCTCACCAAAAGTCATTAAGCGGCCCTCCAACTGAAATAATTGCCCCCCCACCCACCTTCCTGCAGTGTGCAACAGTGTATCGACATCACTGATTTTACAACAGACTGTGAAATGCAAGGCAGACAGTTTGTTCATTGAGCATTATTTGGAGAAGAGTTTTGCAACCGTTTGTTAAGAGAACACCAATTAAAAACTACAGAAACACCAAACAAGCCAAAGGACATAAGTACATCACTATAATGAAAGCTTGAACCTAAAAGCCAACCGAGAAGGGTTGTGAATTCAATTTAGGTAGCCCTTGACCAAGCTTGCAAAATAGCTATTGTCGAGGGGCTTCCGTCTCTTTTGTTGCCTTTGCTTTAGTTAATCACAGTATTATAGTCTGTATTAAAAATCATCACCTGTTTAATTACAAAGCTGTATCTGCACTTCCCCAGAGTTTCTAAACACTTTGATTTGGTTTATGTTGCCATCTTGAACAACTGAGGGCACTTAGCTTCTAGGTGTGAAGACTGGGTCAGCATAAAAAGAATTTGCAGACATAATAAAGAAATGTCCCACTCTCGAAAAGTGGCAGTACCATTCCCCCAGTTGTTCATACGCAAATTGGAATTCACAGCTGATTTTGAATTAAGCAGATGTGACCCAGCATTTATGGCTGCATTTGTGTATATATAAGAGAATGAGTGATAGGACAGAATATCCATGTTCTCTGCTATACTAGTATAGTCCTTACCTTGAGGGCAATGGCATAAAGGTGCTTTTGAGAAAGGGAGGGACCAAAGTTAGATTGTTCTGAACGAGAAAATCCCAACATGTAGGGGAATATTCTGAGATATATGCTGAATGTTTGACTTTTGAGTATCCAGGCTTTATTTTTCTGGATACACCATCCCACCTTCCATCCACTTCTCAGGCCTCCTCCATTACTGCTTCTGCAAAATTTAACATCACTACTCTAAGAGCCTTTCCTGTTCTATCATTTGTTGGCATCCTCAATCAATGTGTTATCTATTTATACTGGATTGTAACCTCCTCAAGCAAAGACCTTAATTGACTGTGAACTCCCAAGCATACATATGGTGCTACATCATGCAGCACAACAGAACAGAGCATCCTACATTCCTGTGAAACAGGGAGTAGGCGAATTTGTCCAGGCCCCCTACTCCCCAAACTAGTTTTTAAGCAGCATGTTTTGCTTCCCCCACAGCTTCATGCTCAAGGTGCAAGGTGCACAGTCAGTAAAAAGCAGAAAAGGGTTTTACAGAAATAGAAAAGAAAACAGCTTCCTTCTGCCTGCCTGAAGCGCTGGTCTCCTGCCAATGGTCTCATGAACAGGGCACAGGCGTGGAAGTGAGGACACATGGTTTCTACAGTGTCTCTCTGCCACTGACCTGCCCTGTGACTCTGACCCTTGGTCATGTCTACATAGACAGTAAGTTCTTTGGGGGCAGAGTCCATCTCTCACTATGTATCTGTGCAGCTCCTAGCATAAAGGGCTTTTCATTTCATGTGGGGCCTCTCAGCACTACTGTCACAAAAACCCCTCAGCAAAGAACTAACTCCCTGCCTAACACTAAAAAATGGGGTCTGTACCTTTTGTCATAGCCCCAAGAAACAACTTGGATTTATCTGGCTTTATAATCCTACTACTTCATCCTCTTTTTTCTCCTAGAGCACACCTAGCCTCTGTGAAGAGGAGCCTTTCCAGTTTAATAGTTCACCAGCATAATTGGGCTTTAGTAGTAAAAATAAATTTATATTTACCCTCAGGCAGCCCAGTCGGTTTTTGAGCTCCTCGCACTCGACTTGCAGCAGTCGGATTTCCAGGTCTTTTATGCCTTGAGACGGGTTGTTAATATTTGGCAGCTGCAGGGCCTTTATGTTGACTGCGCGTATTTTCTGCTTTAGGGGAAATCTTTTGGTGGTAGTTCTTCCGGTGGTGGTGATGGTGGTGGTGGTGGTGGATGATGCAGGAGCCAAAGGGCTTTTGTCCTGGTAGAAAGACAGACATATTGCTTAAGACGACATTGCCAGGTTCCAGTCAGGTTTGCTGGAGCTATTTCTGGGGGAGGGAGAAGAGTGGAGTTTCAATTTCTTTAAAGTTGGAAAATGTAACACAATTTATTTCACCCCTCATACTTCAGAAAACTACTCAATAAAGTTTGCACAAAAACCTTTAATTAAAAAGAACTATGACCAAAAAACAGCAATGGAAAATTTTAGCTTGGAAGGTGAATTTTACTTTAACAGAAGAGTAAACATGGACAACAGCAGGTGCAAATAGAAATGGTTTCGCAACCTTAACTGTTGCAGGTGGGTACTATGAGGCCCTGATGCAAAGAGCATGGAGATCAACTAGGGCTTGTCCATTAATTTCAGAGCCATATTCAACATATAATTACACGTTTATACCTACAGAGGGAATATTGGGAAAAAAAGATTTCAATATATGCTCAGATACTAAAACACATTCAAAAGTATTTAAGGAAAAAGAAATGCAAATTTAGTTTTGCCAGTGCAAATATTCACAAAAAGCTCATTTTCACATATGAACATTCACAAAAAAAACTTGAAATTAGAAAAAAAATCAATGTTTTCTGTGACTGTTCATGTACTGTGTGAATGCAGTGTCC